GCAGTCCCGGGGTGAAGAAGTGGGCTGATTGCAATAAGAGAAAGGAACGCTCTCTAAGCGTTCCCTCTAGTGCTCGGCAGGAGGACCGTGTACCAGGGTGCATGGTGGACGTCGGGGACAACCTCATCAATGACGTTGAGAAAGCCCTCACCCAACAGTGCCAAGCCACTGTTTTGGCCGGTTTATTCGCTGCCAGAGAATATACCGGCGAAGCGAATCGCTGGAGGCACTACTGATGTGACGGTGAGAGGCACACGGGGAGATATTATGGCACTATTTCGCAGACGCTACCGCAACGACGTGATAGATGAAAATGAGATAGATAGAGAGGATAAAGGAATATGTGGAATCATGAAAATCAATATTCCTGGTGTCAGTTTTCTTCGAGACATGGACTGCTCTTCAATTCCCCATCTACAAGCTGTTCGATGTCTCACAGGTAACAAGTTGTTCCTCAACATACGCAGCAAAGTAGCTGATGCTATACTTAATCGAGGGTGTGTCTGTGAACCCCCATCCGATCTCGCCCCACGTCGGTGTTGATTAAATCAACACCGAAATCAACTTGATTTCATGCTTGTGTCGTCGCCAGAACAACGACGTGCTAGACGATAAGATACGATTCGAGTCCTGCAACTTGGAAGCTTACGCGATGAACACCATGTTTGATTGCAGCGAGTTAATTGCCGGTTCACTTCCACCTGAGCATCTCAGAGCTCTGACCAACTACTGTGGTGGTCGGCTCAACCAAGTACTAGGTCTCTGCTAACACCAAGTCTGAGATGGCTCATGATGAGTTCAAAATGCGCGTAGGGTATGCATCCACTTAAAAGGATATAGAAAAAACTCCACCGTATTCGTAAGGGTGATCCCGTGGCTCCCCAGTGATCTTATATTTGCGCGGGTGAGGCCCACGGTGCAAAGGTGGGCTTCGTGGATGTTACTCTGAGTAACATCGTGGATGTAAAGGAGACTATAGACCACCAAGTAAACCTTCGCATGCAACACTACGACAATGAAGGAAAAAACTCCAAACGATAACTCATGGGCGTCAACTTCCAAACACAGCGAGGATTCTCTCACATGCTTCCTTGATATCATCTGCCGTGCCGTAACCAGATATCCGCAGAAAGCCTTCTCCTGCCGGACCGAAGCCAACCCCTGGTATCGTGACAATCTGCAACGGTTAGATGTGTACAATAAAGCCCCCCGGAAGACTCACCTGGCAGTCTCGCAGTAGCTTGTCGAACGCCGTCCACGAATTCCCACCAAACTTGGCGAAAACGAAGGGCGCATCAACACCGCCATAACAGGGTATTGCGCATTTGGCCAGAGTCTCACGAATCATCTACGGTGAGTTCAAGTAAGATCTGTGTGTTTTCTTTCTTCCCACTTTCATATTCGCCATATAGTACTCCACCCTCTCCATCACCACCGACAGGTTGTTCAGCACAGCAATGCCTCCAGCGACGGACAAAGCCGAGGCGCCTGAATTGGTCGAAAGGTTTCGCTCAAAAATTGTCCCCAACGCTGGATGGTCGCAATACGTCTCGCATTTAGTAGAAATGGCCCCCTACTGTGTCAGTCCAGGTCCCAATAGACTATACCTACCTTGAAACACAGTGGTAGAGATCCTTCGCCAGTCAGTAAGAAACGGCGTCCCGTCCGTGAAACGCATGTCCTCCGGCACAACAGTCCAGCCCAGACGAACCTACACTGCTGAACTCCACCGGCAAATCATCCAGAAATCTATA